TCCATCTCTTGTCGCTTTGCCAGAGCTACTCTCCTTGGAGGGATCTCTATTGGACGGTGATTGCCTGTGTTTATTCTGTGCTCCACAAGGTTTGTCCAGCCGAGGTCATGATCTCCTTTTGAAAAGACGTCTGCATAATTCACCAAAAGTTCTCTAACCAGAAGAGCATGTGATGATGACAAATGGACTATGCTCTTCTTATAGAGGTCAGTTAAATGTTCTGGGAGTGTATGTCCTTTCTTTATATTTGTATTTCTTGCTTGAACATTGACTGGCTCTACCTCCTGGCACACACCCAACAATGCCCCTTGCTTAAGTGTCTGCTCACATTTATAGAAATTGGCCACTGTTAATAGGTACTACTTGATGACCTGCCACAAGTGACCTTCCAATCTTCAAATCCGCTGGCCTGAATGGGTCTTCCACTGCTTCCACAAGCATTGGGCTTCCTTGGGGATGTTCTTTTATCCTTCCCCAAATTATCTTCTCTGACAAAGGGGGTATTGTAGTTGACTTAAGTGCTGTGACATGCAAATCAACAGATGCAGCAACACTTACTGGAATTTGGCCTTTGTTGTTTCCAATCGTCATTTTATCAAAGTTAACTACACACTTCCTCGGTAGTAAATAGTCCAATCCTAATATGCATTGATCTTCAATGTCAGCCAAGTATACTTTCTGTCTGTTCTTCATGCCCATTAGCTCAATAGTTACCCCCACAACCTTGCATAATGTCCTGTCACACCATAGAGCTTCTGTACAGCTTCTGGTACTCCTTTGTGATCCATCACTTTGATACTCACAAGGGTTTGCTGAGATGCAGAATCTATGACAAAGTTGCACTTTTGTCCATCTAGGTTTAATGTCACGTAGACACTATGTGTGCTTGGCATTTTACACCTAGCTGTTGGGACTTTCATGATGGGGGTTAGTGGGCATCCCTCAAAACCAACCACTACTGGTTTCCCCGGAGCTGACTTATTGGTAATATTCTTCTTACACTGGCTCCTCATATGACCTTGCTCTCCACAGTTTCAACAACCTTTCTAGGTAGCAGCCTTTCCTGCCATGGCATCTTCCCTGTGTTGAAGTTTCCAGCATTGAGCTCTCTTGTGCCCAGGTTTATTACAGTGCCAGCAAAGTCCCTCAAACTTCTCTGAAAGCTGCCCTTTTCTGTCCTTGAATCCTGATGACTGTATCAACCTTGGTACCTCTGTGCTGGAATTAATGTAGGATTCAAATTCAAGAGCTCTGGCCATTGCATCCTGCATAGTAGAGAGGTGTGCTTGCCTTACTTGTATCTTCAGAAGTGGACTGTCCAAGACATCTACAAACGTACCCCTCAGTAACAACTTGAGGAGATCGGGTGGTGCAGTTGGGTAGGCCTTGTGTGCCATACTTTTCAAATCCTGTGCCAGCTTCTGTGAGCTCTCCCCTTTAGTCTGGACTATCGTCCTTAACCTAGCCCTGTAGACTTCAGACTGATTTTGAGTTCCATACCTGAGTTCTAGAGCAGCTACCAGTGCTCTATAGTTGTGTCTCTCGTCTGCTGACAACTGTCCAAGTATTTCCAATAGTTGTCCCTTCACGCTCATTGTCAGATATACTGCTTTCTGTCCATCCATTCATTTCTGCCAGTAGCTCAAATTGTACTCTATATGCTTCCTACGGTGCCTTCCCATCGAATTCCTGTGGCTTCCTTCGTACTAGATCACCCATATTGCTGACATTCACATCTGGGATGTGACTTCTAGCAGGACTGAAGATGTCTGCATTAGGG